AATTTTTTTTTTTTTAATTTTCTTTACATTTCTAACCCTTCACTCAGAAGGTCTTAGCAGGCAGATTTCTGAAACAATTTTAAGACTCTGAGATTATTCGCAGAAATGCAAAGAAATGACCATGAACCAGCAGTATTTCTGACCTGCTGCGATCAAGGCCCTGTTGCGTGCTGTGAGCACCGTGAGGGGAGGGAGAGGTGAGCGCGAGTGTTGCTGCTCTTCTCTTGATTAAATGAACATAGAAAACATAGAAAAGTTAGTATAACTCAATGATGTTTGTTTACTCAAAAATGCAAGACAATACACCAATTTATTTGCAAAGTCATTCTCCCATAATTAGATGATACTCCTAATATTCGAAATTCATAAACTCCGAGGAAATTTAAAACTTTAAAGCTCTCGAACCTGAATATAGTTTGTCTACCTTAGTCAGACTGTTCTTCACAAGGAGATTGAGGGAGGAGGTCACATCTGCCCTGTCAGGTTGAATTTTAGTCTCGTGAGGTAAAAACCCATCTTTGAAATATCTTTAAATATAATTTAGGAGTTTTTAAACACTCATCAGTAATGTTGAAAGAACCAGCTTTCTCTTTTGACCAACCAGAATCAGCAGTCCTATTATAAAAAGGAGCCGACCTTGAAGTAAATGTGTTCAGAGTGCCAACAAAAAGAAAACAATTTCTTAATAGCTGGCCCAGATGAATTCTAAAAATAGGCATAATCAGAGAGGAGCAATTGATTCCAACATTCTGAACTGACTATAAAATAGTACAGATAAATTAGTCTTAGATTTGTGCTTTGTTCACACATGATCGAAATGAGGAGTTTTGCATTGATTCTGACATATCTGTTCCTAGAGAAAGCCATCTTTCCATTCCTTGACAGACTCTATATAATCCTATTATTAAATACTGGCTTCAACATTCTGAAGTTAATTATTGCTACTTAATTATTGCAAAAATACAGGGACTTCATATAAAGTGTAAACAATGATAAACTATGACAAGATATTGAGTCAAAGCCAGTCCAATTAATTAGATTTGAAAGATAAAAACAAACAAAAAAAGATTACTATTGTCTGAGCAAATAATTCCTAATTTAGTTCAATCTAGGGGAAAGAAAAATCAATACACCACAAAAATCAGTTAATATAATGAATATCAAACAAAATATTATAAGGTAGTCAGAATAGGCAAAGAACATGCACTTGGAAATCAGGAAAGTCATGTTTTAAATTCAAACTATTCTCTCTATTAACAATGTGATTTTTGAAATGTTTCATATTCTTTCAAATGCTTATTTTCTTCATCTGTGGAATAAGATAATGCTGAACATTTATTTGTTGACCTTTATATATGACCCCCATGCCCCGCCCTCCTGATTCACCTCATATAAATGGCTTGGTTTATGAGAATTACTCAGAAAAAGCAGCATTTTTATACATTTAAGATAGAATATTTCAAAGAATTAAAGTACCATAGTTACAGCATTACAAAGATCTTTATCATCTGTTTAATTCTACAAGCAAGGAAATAACTACATTCTTATTTGAGGGATGCAAATAATAGTTATTGTTTATACTTTTTAAATAAATCTTCCCTTAGAATCTCTGCATATATACATTTACATGGGTGGGTGCACTAACACGCTCATGTACACATGCATAATTGTTTCATAATATAATTGTTCTTACAGAAACTTTAAGAAATGGTAACATAGTTTAATAATAATTCTACAATGTTGCTTTGATACATTCTGAGGTTATTTCTAATGAGAAAATATGTTTAAATTGAAATCTATACCATATTTGCTTCTGGATCAAATCACAAAATGACTCAAACATTTTTGGTGTTCATTTTTTTTCTTTATTTTCTTTGACTTTTTTTTGTTTCTGTGAGGAAAATGACTTTCATATCACAATTGGCCAGATCTAATTGCTCCATCTATGTTTTAATAAATCAAATTTTTTGAAGGACCTATGCCTTTACAGTGGAAAATACTGCTTTGTTAATTTACGTTCGCTGCTCATTTTTGATGCCAATCAAAATGCCAATCTATTGCATCTTGTTTGGTCAGAATAATTGGCATGTGTCTCTGTGTTCATGTTTTTATGAATAAATGTACAAATAAACAATCTAACAACTGACTATTTGCGAATTGTTTTTAGATGGTACATGCAGTCTCCAGTTCAGCACAGGTCCTGCCATTCCCTATTGCCTATTCTGCATTGCTACACACGCTACCTCCTAGGAATATAGATCAGTTTTGACCACATTTTTAGATGTCTCCAGATTGACAGAGACACTTAATGAAGTACTGCCATCACCTAGTAGTGCCACAATGGTTTTAATGTTCTCCACCAATTTCTCTGCTTGTCTTCACTGCTGGATTTATTGCTTAAATATATGACATTTATTTTTAAAACAATTCAGATTAAATTCATAGATTAATAGAGATCCTAGGTTCCATGTAACAGATGGCTAAATCTATGTAAAATATTCAACAGGCTTTTTATTCTTGTGGCATTACATTTGTCAGATAGATAGTAAAACAATGAACTTTTGCTATTAAAGAAACTTCAGAAGAGAAACTGATATTTCCACACTTCTTCTGGGTATCTAATATAAAAATGAAGAGCCAAGCTTCATTAATTCTGAACTAAGAATTTTACATGCATTTTCCCTTTATAAATATATGTCATTGTACTATTTTCTTGCAAGGGTACATTCAATCAATTCTTGTTATTTTTAAAATGAAAAGCAGATAACATTAGTTATTACCAAGCCTAATATGGGCTCACACTTGGTCCCTTTCCAAGAATAACTCTTCTAAAGGTCAGCAGATTTTTTTAAGTATTTATTCTTAAAATTTTGATTCTCCTTACATAGGAATTATAATACATTTTATGATATCCTCTAAGTTTTTAGTGTGTAAGGAAGAAAATACATAGAGAAATATGAAATACATATGTACACATCCTTCAAAAACCAGAATTATCTTCTGCAGGGAAGGCCCGTCGTGGTACAGGGTTCCTCCTCTGAGTGTCCTAGGAACTCATCTGTATCAGGGTCCCAGTTGGTGGTGTGTGAGAGACTGCATTCCATTTCAATGAAGTAAAAAAACCAAAAGCTCCATGCATTTGCCCATTTTATGATGGTGTAACCGGGCACAGCCAGGGCCCCCACCCAAAGGGTATTTGTAACAGGGTCCAGAGATTGGGGTGTCCAAGAAAAATATATTCTCCCCACCCCAGGGCAGTCTGCCATGGGGGATGGGAGCCTTGAGCAGGGCCATTGAGAGTCATTTTGTATGTCAATAACAGGATAGCTTCATTCCTCATATGCAAAGAGGGTTAGTTTGCATATCACCAAAGCTGAGGAAGGTTTAAAAGACTTTATACAGAATGTAACTGGGAGAGAGGGAGGAGAGACAGGGGCCTGCAGGAGAGACAAAGGGACACAGACTCTGGGGAACAGTGTGTGAAGACCATGCGGGAAGAAAGAGGGGAGAAAGGACTCTTGCCCGTGGGCCATGAGAAGGTGCCCCATGGTTATGAATTAAGAGCTGGAGATCACGGCGACGCAGTAGACGGTGCTGAGACCCGTGAGAGGCCTGCCTAGCCGAGCACCAGACTTCTGTTCTTTTTCTTCTGAAGGATGGGACCTGTGACTGGCCTGACTGGGCAAAAGCGGGGAAGGCAGGACGGTGTGTGTGCGGGTGTCTGTTTTGAAGAGATTTTGAGGTTTAAGGGTGACATTTAGCCATTAATCAAACCTGTATAAATAGTTCCTTTTCCTTTTTGAATAAATAGTTCCTTTTCCTTTTCACCAAACTCTGCCATTCAGAGCCATAATTCCAAGAACGGCAGGTAAAGGACCCACAACCGAGGGGTTCCGGGGAAGGAGGGTGTCATTGTTTCGGTAATAGCATCTGGGCACCCCCCGCCCCACGGGTCCTTTTGTTCGGTAATAGTTTCTCCCTGATTTAGTCAGGAATAGTTTAGAAACCAAGTCCAACTGTCCAGCAAGCAGAGTGTTCAGTGGGCTGAGTTATTGAGGAGCTGGGAAAAGCAATATAGTATTTATGGCTAATATTTCCTATGTAAAACACTGAAGTTCAAACTAGGAATACTTCAGATTAATAAGTGTACATTTTTTAAACTCATGAAGCGCATCCTTTAATGTAATTGCAATCACATCTCCTACTTGATGAAATGATGTGTGCCTATAAATGTATATGTAAATGGTTATTGTTTGAATAAAATGAGTTGTATTCTAAAAGTTAGCTTTGGACCTTGAGCTATCCTTCCTTCACTCTCTCCCCCTCCTCCCCTCCTCACCACCCCCCCCACCCCCGCCCCCGTCTCTCTCACTAGCTCTGTGTTTTGTGAAATGTGTTAGAGTCCCTGTGTGTCAGAGTCAGTGGTTGAGATCTAATGAGTGAAAGCATCCATCTTACTTCTTGGAATCATCAGCAATAGTTTAGCTTATCCTCTTAGTAGGGAGCAGGGCAGCTTTGAGCTTTGTCACAACTGACTCCTTTAACAGAAGCAAGTAGAGACATTTTGGGTGAAGGCTAATGTATGGATGTGAGAGTAAGGTACAAAGTAAAAAGCTAAAAAAAAAAAAAAAAAAAAAAAAAAAAGACATTCATGATACTTCCCTAACAGAGAAGGGGCAGAGACGAGATATCACATTGATTGAGGAAATCCATTCCTCAGGTATCTGCAGGAACCCTATGTTTTTTTGAAAGCTAACAATCTGACAAATTTCTCTCTTACAAGTCATGAGAAAATATGTATATACTGCTGGTGTTCAAATTGAATGAATGATTCAGAGATATAATGTCTGCCTTTAAATAAAAAAGAGTATTTGTCATATGAGAAAAGGATTATATAGCTTAATATATAATGCCAGAGGCTGTAAGTAGGACAAATGGACAGAAATTCAAGGGAAATTAAATTTAACTCAATAAATGCAAAATTTGTTTAATTTACTTATTAATGAATAGAGATTCACAACAATGAAATGAGCTTTCCAGTGAAGAAGTAAAATGGTAGTTATTGATTTCTTTGTTATTTGAAACACAAAAAAGTGAAGTCTCTGAGCCTAAAGGACACTAGTTTTTAAACTGATAAGAACAGATACTACACTTGATCTTAGCCAAAAGGCCGAGAAGCGATAGGACACTAGTTTTTATTAAAAAGGAAGAAATTTTGCTACTGCTGCAAATAATAGTTAAAATTTATTAAATGCAAATTATAATTTATGTACTATTTTAAACCTTTTATTTATTAATTTATTTGAGAAGAATGAATATCAGCAAAGGGATAATAATAATCAGGAGAAAACTAATATAGGGTGGTAATGGAGAAAATTCTGTAGAATTTTCGATGAGAAAGATGTAGATAGTTTTCAACATTGGCTACTTGAACTATGCAAAAGGAAGTGGAGTGAATACATGAAACTTTAGATAATAAGATACTAGTAATTGAAAGAAGGCACTTTTAATATGAAATTGAGAAGAGACTAAACAAACATAAAAGTTGGTAAGAAGTCTAGCTATAGTAATTATAATTCAGGATCTTAGATGCCATAGTCAACGATAGTATGTCATTTGCTCTCAGTTCTCCTTTTCTCCTTATACTTATATAGAGAGGTCTATACATATATTAGTGCTGGTAGAGAGTGGGGTCCTTAATCAATATTGTCATTAATTATCAATTCCTTTAAGACAGAAGTCTTAAGTATTTAGATATATTGTAAATGTTCTTTCTTATGTTATTAAATTTACGGGGGAGTGTTGGGCTTTGACAGAGACAAATAGTTTTGAAGCCAATTTTTTTTCTCTCTTTCAGAATCAATCTCTTCTTCAAGTGTGCATTGACAACCCAAAGACAGATGAAGTAGCCTCCTAGCTCTAACTGGCCACATGGCATATGTGAATCTCTGTTTTCCCCTACTTCATGCAACAAGCTCTTTCTATGAGTCTATTCCCTGATTCCTTACAGATTAGGCATGACTTAGAGTCTCAAATAGTATTACAATTTATTCTCATGCCCTTTTTTCCAATCCTTACAACCATTAGTTTCAATTTATAAATAAAATGCATTTGTTGTGATTTTATCTATGTGGTAATGAATTTTTTGATTAATAGAATTACATTATAATATTTTTTTAAATTACAGGCAATACCATTAATGTCTATGTGTGTTTCTATCACATATTCTTAGCTTATAATATAGTTTCAAAATGTTAATCTTAATTTTGGTGTTTAACTTTTCATGCATATATTTAAAATAACCTATTCCATTTGTTTCTTCTATATTTTCTTAATAAATTTGAGTCAAATGTTATTCTTTGTGTGTAATTAATATTGACATCACAGCATTTTTATTTTTGTTAATATTAACATTAATGTTATGTACTATATTGTTTAATGTTATCATTTTTATGGAGCTTATTCATTTTCTTTAGCTTTATAGAGATGTAATTGAATACAACATTGTGTAAATTTAAGCTGTACAATGTGTTGATCTGATATATATTACAAAATGATTACTACCATAGAAATAGCTAATACCTCTATCACCGGGCATAATTTCCATTTTGTTTTTGTGGTAAGAATATTTAAGACATACTGTTTTAACAACTTTCGATTATAATACTGCATTGTTAACTACAATAACCATGCTATACATTAGACCCCCAGAACGTGTTCATCTTATAACTAGAAGTTAGTACCCTCGACCAACATCTTTCCATTTTCCCAGTCTACTTATGTAGGGCAAGTAATTTTGTAGTCTTTTGTTCTTTTGTAACTATTAATATAATCTGATATTTTATATGTTACATCTGTCATTGATTTTAACAATATTTATCATATTGTCCTTCAATAATTTTTGACATTTTTATAGATATTACTCCTATATCTATGCAATTTTTTCATTTTAATTTGATTCAAAACTGCTTTTAATGTCTACCTCATGACATTCATTTTGAGCTCTTAACCATGTTTTTACATGTCTTGAAGTATATTTTTTCTTTTCCACAAAGTTACATATGTAAATACTTTCATTGCCTTTACACATATAGGGCAACTGGTATGGCTATAAAGTTCTGAGTTTTCAATGTATTCGGTGTTGTAAAAAATAAGGCTATTGCCTTTTGTTTCATTTTACAACTTTTCAAAGTTTGTTTTCTGCTTGAGTTTGATAGGATTTGTATGTTCTTATTTATTTCAAAATCTTTCATAGATATTTCTGGTTGTGGACCTTCCGTTGTATATCCAGTACTCAATAAAGATATTTGATGATTACTGTCAAGATCCATTTATAAATCGGAAAATCATGTTTATCCTGAAATACTATTTTTTACTGTCTCTATCCTTTGCATATTCATCAGAATTTTCAGTTATCTGCATATTTAGTACTTATTCTTTGTGGTTTATATAAAATATCTTCTTTATTGTTTTTATTTTGTTGTACTTTTAGATTTACTCGGCATTCAGAAAAAGTTCCTCCTCCTCCTCCAGTTTAAAGGGAAAATGCTGTATTTTCTATTTTCCATTCACTTTTTCCTTTAGAGCTTCACATAAAATCTATCAGTTAAAGAAACCATGCACCTGTCACTGATTGGTTTGTTTAATAAACTTTATTTTAGAATAGAGTTTGCAGAAAAAGTGTGAAGCTAAAACTGAAGGTTTTCATATAGCCCACCTCCAGTGCCCTCTATTGGTAACCCCTTACATTGGTATGGTACATTTGTCACAATTAAGGAATCAGTCAATTATTTTTAACTAAAACTCATACTTTACACAGATTTTAACTGTTAGTTAATGTTCTTTTTCTATTCCAGTTATTATCCAAGATAAACATTGGTTCATATAAGATAGTAGACATTTCAGCACACAGAGATTTCTTATGAGGTAGATATGAGATCATAAATATAATGGCGCAACCCTAAACACAGGTACATTGGAGAGTGCTGGACCCTTCACTATCCTGAGCAGTGATCAGTAAAATGGGCACATGCACTCTAAGCAGTTTGCAAGAGACCTAATAGAAAGAAAGGAGACTATATTAGAACTTTTAAAAATTGTACTTTTCTGTATTTTAAATTTTTATATTTGTATATTTTATACTTACATAATACATGAGTATGGCTATATATAATTAACTTACAACTAATGAAATACATAGGAAAAAGGTCATAGCACTAAACTTTATGCTGATATTGATGCATAATAAAAAGAAATGAGGACCTCGGTGCCTCAGAGGGAAAAAAGATACATGGTTTCTGAGACAAAAGAATTTGGTTTGTATAACTTCAAATAATTATTAGGCATATGACTTTGATCAAATATTTAATTGTTTCAGTTTGAATTTTCAGATCAGTATGTGGGACACTACAAACTAAGAGATAATTAAAAGAGAAAACAAGAGTTAAAAAGGATAATTAAAAGAGACAGTAACTGACAATCTCATAATTCTGTAATTTTTGTTAATTTCATAAACTGGAGACACTAATGAAGTCAAGCATTAGGGTCATGCTCCTCCTGAGTTGCATTGAACATATCTATCTATCCTGAAATAAAATCTCAGTTATTTAGCTCAACAAAAATACCCAACATCCTACAAAATGATTTACTTACATTTATACATTTATTACACATTTATTGTTAATTGAAGTAGTCAATTGAAAGATAACTGCCTGATATAGTGATATTAAAGTAATCAATATATGACAAAAATGTTATCTTTATGTCTAGAAGACTTCTTGTGTTACAAAAGATGGAAATTGAAGGTCTTCCATTTTATTTTGAATAGCAAAATTTGTCCTTAAAATTTATCAAACTATGTATTTCTTTGTTATATTTTATGAAATAACTATAAAGTTCCTAAAATACTCTGATTTTAAGACTTTTTCTTATTTGAGAAATATAAGAAATCTATTTTTGCTTATTATCTTTTCAAATTTTCTTGATTCTAGCGCACTTCAGAGTACTTAAAAAAGCTCAAAGTACAAAAATATTATTAACCTAAACTTAAAGTTAATCAAATATTGATATTTATTGATATTGGTATGGATTTCTCACCATACTTTTCATTACAATCACACCTATAGGAGTATGTTTCCATAGTATTGACACTGAGAAATTAATTTTATTTATTAATGAAAATGTAATGTAATTTGTGTCATTTGTGGCTTTCTGTTAAGTAAATATATCAATGAACTTTCTAAACAGACTCTGTGATAATTGAGCATTAAAGTAGTATTTTTTAGGAGCACCTGTTATATTCCATGGTATGTTTAATTTGGTGAGTTATATGGAATATTAAGCAATCTTTTCAAATAACAAGATGTCTACTTCTGGCCAGGATAGAGCAGTAGGGACCACATCTACCTTCCAGCCTGAAACAACTAAAATAAAATAAAACAAAAATAAAAAACATAAGAAACAATGGCTTTCAAGATATTGGAAATAGGTAATTGAAGACAATAATCCCTAAGATGTTGGAAACAAAAGAGTTTATACATACAGTCTCTCCAGCCTATTGGTTAATGTAACATTCATGGCTGTAACACCAAGGGGTGATCTCAGGGGACTCTCAGGGGTTCCCCTGAGTTAAGGAGTCTGGAGAGGATGAGGCGGCTTGGATTCACAAGAGTGTAAGGGGACAGAGTTTTCTAGCCAAAAAGAAAAAGAAAAGAAAAAGCACAAGAAACTTTTGCCTGTCAATATCTCCATGTTTAAAAACATGATGAAAAGAACTACTCAAAAGCATCTAATGTGGCAAGTCAGAATGCTGTGTCCTTTCAGGGCACAGAGATGCATAGACATGGCCTCTGTTCTCCAGCTTTTAATCCAGTAGGACAACTGAGATGTGACCCACACGTGGCTTTGGTTCAGGTCATTACATGTATTTTGTGTGTGTATTGTTCCTTCCTTCCTTCCTCCCATCTTCATTCTTCCCCCCCTTCCTTCCTTCCCTCCTTTCTTCCTTCCTTCCTTCCTTCCTTCCTTTCTTCCTGCCTTCCTCCCCTCTTTCTTCCTCTTCCCTTTCTTTTCTCTTTTTTAGCCAGAAACTCAATCAATGGGGAAGAAATTAAAAGAACATAAATATCACTAATCAAGATAATCAAAGGCTGTCCTTCAAGCATAAAGACAGCTCAGTAGAGG